CCCTGTCAGTGACACCTTCAACTGGGCACTTTCAAAACATGAGACTGTTCACTTTCGACTGTCAAATGGTCAAAAAAGGCTTTAACTCTGCCACCAAGTGTCTAAACATGTATTAACTGTTAAAGATGGAGGTTTTCTAGTTTTATCATTTCTTCTCAAACGTGTGGAAGACGTGTCCTCTCACATGACCCAGTCTTTCAACCCAATAACACCACCACCAGTGCACGTTCCAGATTCACATGAGGTCATCACATCCTTTTCACTGAAATTAATCCTAGAGTTCAAACAACTGATGAACAACTGCACTGAGGCATAATTCATTATTATGAATTAGTGTTATTGATTTAATGATTACTTAAATGATAGTCAACACTTACATGATCTCATGTATTTCTAATCACAAATCCACCCAGGGTGAAAATAAATTAAACTAGTAAGATTTTTTTCTTGATGGGGGATTATCTCTTTTAAGAGGCACTCAACTTGCTGTTTTTCCTTTCAGTCTGAAAGAAGCTGATGCTGGACACGGCATTTTCCTGGAGTGTGATGCTACTGTCAAGGACTCAATCTTAAGACACCTGAAGGTGTACAAGATTCGGAGAAAGGTCAACATTAGCCCCTGTCCAGAACTCTCTGTTTGGGCAGTACTTCCCCAGCAAAAGAACTCTGGCCAGGTGGCCAGTAAACCTGAGCTGTCCTCCCCTGAAAACACTCTGGTATGGGAGACTGATCCTCGAACTCAGGAAATGGGCTGGAGATTGGTGTTGGAAAGTAAAATCGATCCTTGTGACATCATTGCATCATGTCAGAAAGGTGACACAGGGGATTATCACAAACATCGCTATGCAATAGGTAAGACTGGTTTGTAGTTGAGTACATACACTTTGTATTGGAGGACAAATGTGGTGAGAAATATGGATTTGTGTGAACACGTGATACTGAAGTTTTGTTTGTCTCCTCTGCTGTCATTGTTGTCCAGGACTTCCAGAGGGAGTGAAGGACCTCCCTCCAGGGGTGGCACTGCCACTAGAATCAAATCTCGTCTACATGCAGGGCATCAGTTTTAGCAAAGGCTGCTACATCGGCCAGGAGCTCACAGCCAGAACCCATCACACAGGGGTGGTTAGGAAACGCCTGATGCCAGTGCGCTTGTCATCTCCAGTACAGGACCTCGAGGAAGGAGCTGCAGTGCAAACGCAGTCAGGCAAGCCAGCTGGGAAGCACCGATCAGGGGTAGGAGAGCTGGGTCTGAGCCTAATCCGCATGGCTCATGCAAAAGAGGTGTTGACACTCAAATCTTCTGATGACAACACAGTGACACTTAAGGTCTCTGTGCCAGACTGGTGGCCTGAAGATTTGAAAATTAAGTAAAGAATGTGACATTCATCACATCTGACAGATGACTTGCAGTCTGAACCCTAAAGCACAGTATGTACATTGCTTTACAGATGTCTGGCACTTACGTATATTTGTGAGATCTTTTTTCCTTTGCAATAAAATCTGTATTTATAGTATTAATTAGATCTTGTTAAAAAATGTGTCCCAGCTTTATACAACAGCGTGTACCAATTGTCATATGGTATTAGTGGTTGTTAAAATTGCAGGATAAAAAACTCAATCAACGTGTATTTTTTAATTTATTTATCTATTTCATCTTTCAGTGCAAAAAAATCTATTTAAAACTTTCACAAGCAACATTTGAGATTGCAATTCATCTCAAACAAAACTCAAACAAATGCATATCATCTTTTTTACTCCAAATAAATTGGCAATTCAAGCTCTTTCCGGGTGAAACATGTTACATTGCTGGGACCACACATCTTATTCCTGATAAAGGAGATGCTGCCCTCTTGTGGATTGTATGGTGTCCCGAATTTGCTGTAGCATGGTTTCCGGCTGCAGAGCCAGTGTTGAATGATCAAGCCGCTTAAAGTCCTCATTGCAGAGTAGACATTCAAGTACGTGAGCCACTCTCTGTAGGTCGAAGGCAGCATGGTAAGGTCCGAGTGTGGTAAGCGTCTCCGAGAGATGCCGTGGGTAATCGGGAGAATCCCCCGAGGAGCAAGCGTTCAGGAAGGCCATTCGGTTGTCAGAAATTATTTTCAGGAAAGAGGCGAATTCAGCAAAATTAATACCAGAGCAGGCCTTCATGATGACCTGAATTGAAACAGACAACAAATACTTTATTTGTTGCAGACATACAGGGCAGCAGAGTGTTTTGGGTTCACATACACACAGATCAATCTTGTCTAAGAAAAGTATGTGTACCTGGCAGTGCTGATGCCACGAATCCATTGTGTTTCTCCACTCGTCTATCTCTTTTTGAACAGATGACAGCTCATTCTGAAGGAACTGCCACATGATGTCAATGTTGCAGCCATTCAACCAGTTGTGATTAATAGAGATGGTATCTTCCTGTAAAAACATTCACAATCACAAACTGCTGATCCTAATAAAACACTTTTACACATCTGAAATAATCCAAGTATTGATGTTTTTGCTTAGTCATTTTGCTGTCGTTCTACTTTACCACTACAGTTCTTACCAAATTGTAAACTTGATGATGCCAGCCGCTGGGAACAAAGATGATTTCACCAGCCTCTTGTATAATCTCAAGAGGTTGACAGGCTTCTTCACAGTGAGGAAAAAGACCTCTGTCTTGAAGTTCCGACGATGTCACGTCGTAAGGGAGGTTGCCGTGAGAGTCTCGCAAAAACTCCTCCTGACCTGGGGGATAAAGGAGCCATTTCTTCCTCCCACAGATGTTTGCTGACCAACTGTAGGAGCGGAACACATCGGCGTGGAACGGTGTCCTACAATTAAAAAAAAAAAAAGTTAATCTGGTTGTCTTAAAAAAACACAAATGGAGCTGTGATCTCAGGATAAGCTAATGTAATGTTCAATATTTCATACCATGAACCTTTAGGTCCCATGTAAACAAAGCGGTAGTCATCCACCTCGAGTGTATCCCAGTATTCATTGAGCCAGTCAGAAGAAAAAAAGACTGGTGTGGTGTAAACACTGTTTTCTGCAAAGTCCCTGAGGGAAAACAACATGGATCAATCACACATCGCAAACAACTTTCACCAAAACAAAATCTAGTGGATTAAATGTACACCTTGACATGTGCCAGTCTTTAAGATAGAGACATCCTTTAGGTGACGAGTGGCCATTTTGGATATATTCTTTCCAGTAGTGTATAAATTCTTTAAAAGGCATTACTTGTTTGGGGTTTGCATTGTATTCCTTTGCGTTGCAGTTTGCAACAGGAACAGGAGCCTCATCTGTAAGAGAGGAGATAAATGCATTAGATCACATGCATTAGCAGCAGCAGCATAATGACATGATAGTTAATGCATTGGGAAGATGATTATTTACCAAACTCTTGCAGCAGTTTCTGGAAATGAGGCTTCCCTTCCTCTGTCACCCACTGTTTTCTACACTTCCACTCCTCTGTAAACCTCCTGGAAAACATGCACGGGTGATTGGGGAGCAGGTATTTCTTGAAAAACTTGGAATAGCTCAGCTCCTTGTCGATGTAATCCACGAAGTGTGAGGACCAGAACTGCTCGTACGACTGTCGGGGCATCTTGACCAGGCTGCAGCAGTTGCGGTACGCCTCCCTGTCCATGACGGTAAACAACAGCTCGGCTAGCCTGTTAGCGAGGTTAGCTGTCACCGTCCGGACCGCGAGACACGGAAAGATTAAACACCTTTTCTACCTGCGCCTTTTCTCCTTTTTGCTGTTAAATCCAATTCATGTCAAGGTAGAAAACGTACATGATGTCAAAGGGTGTTATTTTTATATTTTTGACAACAGGTCGCTTCATTTGACTCCATCTCAAAGACGGCAGGTTCCTGAACGTCGCACACAGACTATTACCGTTTATAGTTTATCACGATTACTTATATAACTGCAGGTACCTGAACGGTGCACATTATATTAGCTTATTGGCTAGCTACACATAGCTGACAATATGTGTTTCCCCCAAATCTTGCTGTTGTAGCCCGTTTTAACAGCGGCATTTTCAAGTCGGACAGTAAACACGGACGTACTCTTGTGCGACAAGGTTTGGGAACATATCTACATAATGATCTATTTGTAGCTAATCAGTTCCCTATGTTACATTGTTATTCCTCTAACGGTGCACGCTGTATTTGCTAACTTGTTAGCAATAAATAGCCAGCAATATTTCCCCCCCCCGAGCCTTTTTAATAGCAGCATTTTCAAGTCGGACTGTAAACACCGACGTACTCGTGTGTGACACAACTTCCGTTATAAACATCAGCCTCCGTAGTGTGAAGACCAAAGGGGGAGATAATGTGGTTCAAGACATTCATTCATGTGGTTTTGTGCGGTTGTAACCCACTGAGAGGAAGTGACATTAGCTAAAAAGGTGTTCGACTTTATAATGGCGCACTTGTAATACGGTTAGTTTGGCAGAAACCTGCAGCTGCCTGTGTCTTAATCTGACGAGAGTATGTTCCTTCTCACTTACTAACGTGTCTTTATGATGTGATAGGAGCATATGTATGGTACTGGTTTCATATTGGATCTTATCCTTTCTCTTCCAGGGGAATCAGCGAGCCTCTCTCCCAAAATGAGCCGGGACACTCCCATCCACAGCTGGTCTGGCTCCTACTACATCAACAGCGAGAAGCGATGGGAAAATGGCACCCTGTCCCTCACCAGAACCACCGTCCGCTTTGTCTCCAATCAGACGAAGCAAAGCCTCGTCGGCTTCCGCCTCTCCCGCATCGTGGAGATCAAGATGGAGTCGTCCAGTATCATCTTCGGTACTCTCACGGTGCTGGAGGAGGGCAACGTGAAACACTGGTTTGGTTCCCTGAAGCCCAACAGGGTGGTGGTTTTTAATGTGATGGAACATTTCTGGAGAGAACGCCTCCTGCAGCCGAGCTCAGGGGCCCGCGGGGCTGAGTCTCAGCCCTCTAAAGGCAGAGAGCTGATCGGCCTGGTGGCAGGGGCCCAGAGAAGACTGGAGGACACTGGCAGAGTCCTGAGCCACCAGGGTGAGCAGTTTGATAACATGATGCAGGGGCTGGAGAAGATCGACTCTGACCTGGGCGTGGCTGATAAGTAATTGTCTCTATGTTAACTTAAATATTATTCATCTTATATTTTATGTTTAAGTCTTTTTTATGTGTTGCTATACAGCTTTTTGTCTTTGGGCATTGACAATTGTTCCTGGTCTGTCTACTCTGTTGCAGACTTCTGTCAGAGCTGGAGTCTCCCCCCTGGTGGCCTTTTGGTAAACTCCCCTGGAAGACTCAGCAGGAAGCCAAGGCTGAGGACGCAGCGAGAGCTGCAGCGTCTGCTGCTGCATCAGCCAGCAAGGAGTCTGGTAGAAATAAGGTGATCTCAAGCATCCCGGCTGTAGTGTCCAAAGGGGGAGACTCAGACTTGAAACCAGGCTGCTTGTTGGTGCTTGTGTCCTCATTGGAGGTGCGAGACACAAACTGCCAGCTCATCCATCGCTTTGAACGAAATGAAATAGATGAAATCAGGGTGAAGAGCCCTTATGAGATCACAGTGAGACAGCGGTTTATCGGGAAGCCAGATATATGCTACAGGTTCCTGTCTGCCAAGATGCTTGAAGCATTGTCGGTGCTAGAGATTCAGTACAAGAAGAAGATTGAGTTCACAAGCGAATACACTGCTTTCAAGGCAACTCCACTCTCATCTCCATGTGACCGAGAAGGGACAAACTATAGTGAAGGTAAGGAGGAGAATTATTTCTCTGCCTTTTCCATGTCTAGAATAAGTTTGACCACTGTGTGGCAGTAAAGCTCTACGTTTCCACCTCTGTATGTTTTTGTGTGGCCTCATGTCAAGACGCTTCATCCACATGAATTTCAAACAAGGTCGTTTCTGTATCTTCTTGACAGAAATGTATTTTGATGAATGACTTCACCCCGATTGCCTCAGTTGCTGTGGTCTGAGTTTACAGTCTGGTTTCCTCATAGACAACATATGTGCTCTGCATTTTTTCACCATCTCCACCCATGGAGTCAGGTTTGTTGCAGATGTGCCAAGACACAGAGCTCCCGCTGGAGGTCCCGGCAGGAGAGCTGTCCCAGTTGCAGGTGCATGTCCTCCATCCATCTGTCAGTCAGGCTGAGGCCCAAGAACTCAAACAGGTGAGGTCCAGTTTGGCAAGTTAGTCTTCTATTGCCTGTGTGACTCTGACTTTCACTGCTGTTGCATTTAGATTTTTAATATTTGCATATTTAAGGTACAGAATACAAACGCCATGTCTGTATGTACAGGCAACTGATTGTCTTGGCAGCCGTTATAGTAACATGTATTTTGACCGTTCCATTCCAAACCACAATTCATCATAATGATTTTTATTTTTTATCCTGTGTGTTTAAAATGTTATTTGGTTAGACCACAAACCGAAGTCCATCCTGGTTTTAAGAGAGGAAAAGAGACATGGTCAGTCATTTGCTCAGACTGTGCAGCGTCTTTCCATTCAGAAGCTCCCAACACACTGAGGACTGTTACAGACAGGGTCTGTGGTGGCAAGAGCTACACAGTGACGCAAATTCAGACCAATGATTCAGACAATGTGTGTGTTTGTGTGTATCACACACTATTACAGGTTGCTTAGAATAAGTAATGGGAAACCTTCAGCAGGCTAGTAGCATTGTATTTAGATGAGTGAATGAACGACAGCTCTACACTAGCTACATTTGTTAAGGTTCTGCTACTTGTTTACCAAATTATATGATGCTTACTTGAGAGACCAAATAATTTAAGCAGCTAAACAGTGAATGCAAGCACTGCAAGAAATATGGGAAATATTATGTTAAATGTCCCATAGAACTACAGTCTGGCTAATACTGTATTTATTTATTAGGAAATGTACAACATCTGATATTTGTTGACAATGATCCCTCAGCTTTGTTTTTAAAAACTTGGACCAAGATGTATGGACAGTACAGGCAGGACATATTACAGTGGAAAAATATATGTGGCAGTTTTCTCTCCTGGATGAGCTTTGACATTTTTTCTGATCAACTTCTGACTCATCTTTTTTCATCCCAATTTCTTGTTGCTAATATACACAGACACAAATATATTACCAAATATCTTCCAATATATTGACTCAGCACTTTGATATGTGTGATATAAAAACAACATGAGGCATTTCTGCCCAAACTTGAGCCACGTGATGAAAAACTGCTAAAATCAATTGATCATAGCCATAAAAAAATAAAAACTATGTTTGCCAAACAAAAAATGCAAATCCCTCAACAAAGAATCATAGCAATCACAGGTTATCAGATTGTGATTTACATATACATGTTTATTAATATGGAGCCTGAGAAATACTGGGGATTTAACCCACCTTCCTTTAAGGAATTCAGTCGTGATTAACCTCAAACAAGGCACTGTTGACTCCTTATACCTAATATTTAGTTAATTATTACACATGATAACAATGCACAGAGGTTTCGTGGCGTTTTTGCCTGTATAATAATTTCTCAGATAGATTTATCTTAGCACTAACAGCACTTGGTTTGTTCATACAACTTGACTTGTCTTTGGCATATTGTCTGCAGCTGATATTGGTTCAGACATGAAAGGCTGCTGCCATATTTGAGTTAATGCTACGCTTCTGTACATTACACAAACACACCCACACTCTTCATGTCAAGATTAGAATCTGCAGTAGGGAAACTTGTTCAGAGGGTCACTGGGTTTAATGTCTTGCCCTAAGTGCTTTTGCAAATATTCCACTTTATATTTGTATTGTTATTGTTTGAGGTTGGAAATTCCAACTTGTTAAAGGCACAAACTGGTTCATTCATAACTGATAAGCATTTCTGTGTTTTTCTTGTACTGTATGTCTTCAAACACAGACCTGAAGTCACCCCACTAATGCCAATGACACATGGAATTTGAGCTCATATGTTTTTTTTCTATTAGTTGTAGCCTAAATGTTTAATTTTTGAGCTTTCTACATGACTTAAAGTCCTCTAGCCTTTGTTTAAGCAGCAGCTAAAAATATTCATTTTCTGTGTTTTCCTTTGACACACAAAAACCCTTGTGAATGGTTACTGCAAAGTGTGATTCAGTTACTCTCCCAGTACATATTGTAAAGTCACAGTCCTGAGTGAGTGTATACAGTTGTCCCTTGGTGTGTATTGACACACTGTCTGTTTTTCAAACTGTCTGGACCAGTTTCTGTGCTCAGTTGCAGTGTCCGCATATAACGGACACAAGCTGACATAATGTCAGTGGGTGTGCGAGTGTGTGTGTGTGTGTGTGTGTGTGAGAGCATATGTAGCATAGCATAATATTAGTTTAGAAACCATGGGGGTGGGGTTGGGAGTGAGTGTCTATTAGGTTTTGCTTGGCGTATCGCAGTGTATTTAAATTGTTCCATCAACCTTAACATACACAGTTGCTGGACCATTGAGGTGAAGTTGCAATTTTCATTAAACCAACTGAAAGCAGCAAACAAGCACTATTGTATGATGTCAATGGTCCCAGCAGACAAGTCAAGACTTCTCTCTGAATGTATTCTCTAGATTCATTTACTGCACGATATAAAATATTATTATACTAAATCAAGATTAGTGTTGTATTTGTGGCATTGCTCTGTAACATTAAGCTGCAGGATATTGTCTTCACAGCCAAAGGGAGAAGAAGAAGAAACCTTGAATTGAATGTAAATCTCACTCACATCTAATCCTCTTTCTCTGTCATCAACACACTCGCTCTCTAACCCACTGACCCTGTCTTCACACCTCTGCACATATGGTCCACATGTCCCTCCCTGCAACTGCTCACCAATTTTAATATTAAAATCAACTTCTTTTGCCTCCTGCTCCTTAGTTGTTCATGTTCACTGGGGGCTCTTGTGCAATTGCTTAAACAAATTAGTGTTTTTAAGCGTGCCTCCAAAAGTGCGCACTTATTGGTTTGTGTGTGTGGGTCTGCGCAGATGCTGATGCAGCTGAAAAACCTTGCCCTGGAGGCAGAGACGGAGCTGGAACGGCAGGATGAAGCTCTGGACGTCCTCACCAGCTCCACAGACCGAGCCACCATGAACATAGAGAAGCACACTTGTCGTATGAAAAGACTGCTGTAGATCTGAAAGCCCAGCTGATGCACGTGGTCACGACGTCCCTCCTGAGAAATGCACTGTAAGCTTCCTCATTGTTCTCATGGGATTGGTACATTTAGAGAACACCACAGAAGAGCAGGGACATGAACATGCTTTAAAATAGTTCATCATATCTTTGTTGCATTTGATGGTACAATTGCAGGGTGTAGTAGTGTTTGCTCAACACTAACGGTAATCAACCAGATCCCCGAAAATTTGCACAACACTAATTATGACTTTAAATCACACGTAAGTATCTCTTCAGGTTTTTTTTTTTCTTGAAGAGAAAGTAAGTTATTTACAGGCTTTGTGGGCTCGTACATTTGTATCATATGTCTATTAGTGATCTGCCCTTTAACTGTGCGTCCTGCAGCACTTAGCAGCTGTGGACAGGATTGTTCCTCATCATCTCTTGGTTTATTTTCTCTGGAGAGTAAGATTTGCTCTGAAGTTGACCAGCAGTTATTGGTGTTTAATGAAAACGGTCACTTGCTCACCAGAAGAGAAATAAGTACTATGTTCAGTCAGTAATTGTGTCAATGGCCTGGTTCAGTGTATTGAACCCCACTAATTGTTTGTGATGGGAAGCCAGTGAGGGATGGTGGCAGGACAAGTCTGAATCCTCAGTGCCTGTCATGCTCCCCCAGTGGACCTGGCGAGTGAAAGAAAAATAAGCTGTTGACTGTGTATCAGACACACAACACAAATATAGCGAAGGACAAAATTGACATTTGAAAGCGAAGAAGGAAATAACCTGCTAATTTATTCTCTCTGCACAAAGTAATTCAAAAGAAATTGCATGTTTATGTAACTATAAGACAAACACGAGAGAGACAGAAACATGATTAAATAGGATTTTTTAATGAAATAAAAAGGACAAATTCTAATCGCACAGATAATGTTTGCTCATATCATCAGAAGCGTTTCTGCTTCTCTGTTGTACTGCTATCCTTACTTATTTTTAAGGTGCATTTCTGTCCTGAGGAGTTGTCTTTCAGGTCCAGAATCCCTGTGACTTAATGTTGCATGTCTGAGTATTGCTGCTGTGTTCTGCATTAAGTGGAAATGTCTCTTCATTATCACAAGACTGTAAATGTGCAAGTAACTTCTGGGATCCGTGGAAGCAGAACAGAAACACTCCCCCTCTCTGTTTCTACAATATTATTAAATATAAACTATAATATTAAATACTCCCATCAATGCTAAGGTCCATATCTACTGTTTATGCCTTGCTTAAGCCTGATAATATTCTAAGTCCTTATTATCTGTTAATAACTGACATTGTAATTCTGTAATTTTGCTGTGGTCTGTTATCACTGTGAACTTGTAACTAGCTCTTAGTTTAAATCGAAGTATCTGTACCATGTTTGAAAAATGGTATCGGTGCTGTATGGATGCATATTCATGCTGATGATGCCAAATTAATCTCAACACTGTAACACAACTAAATTATTGACAATAAGGGAAAAAAGGACACTTGCATCTTTTTTGTTACCAAGAAAAGACTAGACGAAGCAGCACAGTAGACACTAAGTCTATGGAATATATTCATTTCATCAGCCAAGATGTTGTCACCATTTAAAGTCTGTAATAACAAACCTTTTAAAATAAAATAAGTCTCAAATGAGTGGTTGAGCACCCAATTATGAATCAGGAAGACGCTTTGCACAAAGCGCATTGAAAGACGGCCGACAGCCTCACTCAACAGTCTGGTCCTCCAGTTAGCATGAACCCATCACTTCTGTTAAACAGCAAGCCATGAAGGACGTGGGACTGACAGCACAGACACTTGATACGTCTCTGACACTATGAAAGGTTCTTCAACATTTCTTTTCACTCTGCGCTGTTTATTTCTGATGATTTGAGGGATGAATAGTGAGATTGTGGAAGTCCCAAACTCCAGCAGCACACCACATGGTTATGTGAATTCCAACCCTTAAAAAAGGAGCACGGAGCACACACTGGCGTGGTTTCGAGGCAGCCTTGCAATACAAGGAAGTGGTGGCGGTCTTGTCTGACCACAGATGCATGAGATCCGGCTTTGCCTTCCTAACGGATGGTATGGAGACACAAGGGATTTCGCTGGCCTTGACTTCCAAGTCTGTTTACTCGATAGCTCTGCGGTGAGCGCTCTCATTCGAGGAGCGTGTCTCCATTGATGGCCAATCTATCAACTCATTCTGTGAAAAAAGCAGCTCAAGATTGCGGGTTGTGAGGGCACATGAAGGTCGCGCTGCAATCCAAAATACGGAGCTGCTTGATTGCAGTACAAATAGAAACACAAATGTCAAATTATAGCATTTAGCTAAATTTTCTGTCTGTTATTTGGCAGTTATCTTTTCAAGTAGTGTGTTTACTATGTGTTATTAATTCCAGTTAAATGTGTGATAGTTGATGTGAAGCATTTGAGTACATAAAAAAAACACTTCCACTCCACTATTAGACTGTCTGAGTCTAATGGCCTGAGTTTTGACTCATGTCCTGGCCGGCCTCATAGTAGTGCAGGTGTTGCTGTGTTTCCTTTTGCTGAGGGAGTTTCTGGTTTCAGGAAATAAGGCCTGTTGGTTAATGTTAGAACTGGGAGAAAACGTTCTTGGAAGGAAGGTTCTTGAGTCCAACCAAGGGGGGTGCATGTCGTCTCCAGCAGAAAGTGATATGAGACTCAACATCAACATCATCTTCTTCTGTCTGGCAGTGAACTTGGTAGCAGTTTCTCTTCTTCTGTCACAGTGAGTGATGGACATTACAGATGTTTCCCTGTACATTTGCAGCATTCGACTTTATTTCATTGTGAACACGAAGTCTTTGCACGAACTCTGTTTGGATTCAAAGATTTATTTTTTTTTTAGTTTTATCAAACCATGAATGTGTTCTGCACGGCTGTTAATGTGGTACTTTCCCAGATGCTGAGCTGCGTGATGATATCATGTGCTATTGCACTTATTGTTTTCCTTGGTCTTGGCCTACCTTGGAGCTGCACTTTGCTTTTCTGGCTTTTGTTTTACAAACCTTTCTCATTTCTGTGCGACGCCAAAACAAACTTGGCTCCGTTTTTACACAGTAGTATCGCTCTAAAATCAACTCCAGGTGAAACCCCATATTACAGCCTACCTGAACCGTGCAGAGGTGCTCCTCTCGCATATGAACAGTATTATTTGCTAACTTGCTAAGAAGGAATAGCAAGTGTACAGATTGGTTTAGGAGAGAAGAATGATTCTAATCAAGTTGTATGGGGTGCTTGTAAAGACGTTTTCCAATATATTTATATTCTAACTTATTCCTTATTAGTCAGTCGTCATCATGTAAGAATGCCTGCTCACACTCGCCAGCCGAAACTCAGGGTTTAACTTGATCACCCAGTAAAATATTCCATGAAACTTTCTTTTCACAAAATCATTGTGAAAGTCTGCTCATTGGATTCAGTAGAGGGCAGCAGTAAGTTGCTGATGGTGATGATGAATTCATTAACTGTAAAAGTCCATTTCATTATAACCTTTGCACTTAGAGTGAGGACACTGTTTTTGTATCTACATTAGCTCCAGACTGAGATTGTCTCATTTCTTCCTGTTCGCTGGAGTCAGTTCTTACATTCTGTCTCACTAATTAAAATGAAATGGCTTCTCTACACTCTTCAAGTGACAATGAACAAACAGCCCAGTAACAGTAACCAACAACACAAGTTTCTTCGCAGGTCTTGTTTATTTTCATTCTGGAAAACTCATCTTAAAACTGCGTACCACTTTACTGCACAAGGTAAATGAGAAGACAACAGTCCAAATATGAATTTTTGGTCCTTTTTTGCAATGACTGGATTATGTATTCATTAAAACCCCATCTATACAGCTCCCCAAACAGGTTGTCAGGCCGTGAGCCAGCTCACACCGCATCACTACTTTTACAAGCGGGCCCCCCAGAAACCTTCAGCGAGTCTGTTTTTAGTGGCTCTTACTGCAAATGGAAACACTTAGCTCCCACAATAAATTACCCACCCGACTGATGCCACACTGCAGAGACCCCCAGCCACTCACACACGGGCAATGTATTTACATTTTAACATTAAATGCCGTTGAGTCCGCTATGTTGTAAGTGACTTTGGGTCACATGAGCTGACAAGAGGACAGGAAAAAATTAATCACGCGGAGGTTGTTGCACTTGCGTGCAGCCTGCGGGGCAGCGGCTTGATTAAAGTTAAGGATGTATCCCCCCACCCCCCTCACCTCGTGGGGTTGACAATGGGGTCATTTCAGGATAAATATAGACTTTCTTGGTTACTCATTTTCTCTGGAAAGTACATAGCCATTAGTGCGGCAGGCCAGTGATCTCAAGGGCAACACTAGTGTTCAGCCTGAACTATTGTTTATACTGTAGCCAGATGATTAAAAGAGACAGCGGGGTATAGCTGGCCCTGCTGTTACAGAGAGCATCCCCAGCACAAACAGTGATGATGGTGCTCCTGTGAACACAGTCCAGTGGGGTTGAGTTCAGACATTGTGAAAACACACTTAAAAGCACTTGACTCAAACTTCTGTGTCGAATGTGTCGAGGTGTGTTAGGAAACAAGAACAGCGTCTATGACCCTCGCTAAGAGCGCCCGTGAAATAATCCCTAATTATCATTCCAGCAAACTTATGTGTTTGACCACCTAGTGATGCAATTGCAGCTGACCAAATAGATTGTTGAAATATTGCCCCGCGCTGTTATAGCTACATTGTGACAGCATTGTGTGTTCACCGAGGGCCGGCACAACCATAACAAACACAGCTGAATCTGGGGTTTACATTTCAGCAGGATGACGGCGCACGCAGCGTCTGGGTGGAACTTGGGAAAAGGAGCCTGGGCTGACAGCCTCGTATGGCTCCCAGCCAGCATGGTAAGAGCAGCCTTGAAGGTGGGCCCTGTGAAGTCATTATCCAGATGCACATAGGTTTATGAATGTAAATGAATGAGTGGATCTATTTGGTAAGAGGTTTGCTTCGGCACAAGGCGGCAAGCGCGTTTGATGAAGTAGGTGAAGCCATGCCAGGACAAGATCGGGTCCGTGATGAGGGCGTTGGCCGTCAAATTCATGATCAAATTATTGTGACGTGTTCTTTTAAGTCTTTCCAAAAGGAAGTCGCAGGCCAAATACCATCAACTGTGAAGTCAATACAACCACAAACGGAAAGAATAATTGTAACCATCTTCCAAAGAATGGGCTTAAATTAGAAATAAAGTGAACCTTCTGGGTCCAGATATCCATACGTGCGTTGTCGCCTTTATTAACTAAAAACATATGAGCCTTAAAAATATTTGTAAAAATATGTTTTAACGTGATGCCCAATGAAGGATTTTATCACTTGAATTTTTTCACTTCATTGCAGTTTGGAGATAAAAAGAATTAACAAGAAGTCTGGGGTAAAAGAACCCCAAGGCCTGCCCATGGACACTCCCCTGTCTCTATATCACTTTCACTTTTTGTGGGTTTATTTCCATAACTGCAAAGAATTTTTGGACAACACCTATTTTGTGGAAACTCCTTCCGCAATCCCGAACGGTTTGTCCACGTAACCTCAGGGGAGCAGCCAGAAACTATGTAACTGGAGAAGATTGAGTACACAGAGCGAGACCATAGCCTGGTGAGCTATTGAGGAGCTGAAACAAAGATTACCAGATGTTTACCCAGCCCTGCCATATGCGAGGTGGTTACTGAACTTGTGCTCAAAATGTGTGAGTGGCAGACAGAAGGAGTATGAACCTTTGACCCAGTGTCCATTACAGGTACAGAAAAAAAACGTGCAATGCCAATTGACCATGAAGCCAATGCAAAACAATGACGTGTTACTCTGTTTGGTTTTCCTCTAAAAGGAAATCTAGTGTTCCTCAGGATATCACTCAGGAATCCCCTTTTTTACTGATGGAAACCATGGAGCCGTCAAAACAGCTCGGTAATTCTGCTGCCTGGTTTCAATTAAAGCATTGAATATCAAAGACAATCACTCCCATTTTAATGTGCGCCGTTTTTTTAAATTTTTTTTATGTGTACCCAGTTTATTTTGATGGAAAATTTGTGGGTGGAGCACTTGTTAATTGGTGTGGAAAACTTGCACCTGTGGTAGACCGATGTTTTGAGAGTCAGAAACATTGAATATTTGGTTTTTTTCCTCTGAGGAGGAGCCAGGCTTTATCCCCGAAAAACAATCCCAGACTGGATCTGATCTGAGATCGTCTGGAACAATGCTGCTACACTTCTTTGAGCTTTGACTTCACAGTGCAGGAGGATTTCTCAGTCGTCACAATAGTTTACAAACCCTCTATGTGAGATACGTGGGTCACAAACAATTAAAAAACAAACCTTGATTCCAGTAGTTCTTTTAAATGTAAAAGATCGTATTGACCCTGTTATTATAGTGGAACTGCCATGTGCTGCGATCGGGCCATCTCCCCTGTCAGAGCCGCGTGTTAACACATTATGTCATTGATTTTTCAGACCACGTCAACCCTTTTTGACACATCCTGTCTTATGTAATAACACTAATGGAGGGAAGTCTGTGTGATTTACACTCACATGATGCACACGGCTCCGTTCAATGGAATTCATTTACAGACAAATCCCCCTTTACAGTCTGTCAGTATA